AGCCCGAACCCGAAACCATAGCCAAATTAAGAGAAGCCAGAGGGAGTAGAGTTTAAGGTTTAGGGTGTCAGGCTTAGGAACTAAGGTTGGGGGTGTAAGTTTAGGGTTTTTAGGGTGCATTACTTGGGTTTACTAAGATCTAGCAGGAGAAAACCCCGATCCCTAAACCATGAACCTTTGATGAAAAAGTGACAACCGCAGCAGACGCAAAAACCCGAAAACCCTGTTTACTTAAGACTCTGACCTCCGAAAAGGCCTAATCCCCGAAATCCTATACGACCTAAGACCCTAAGATCCGAAATCCCCAAGGCCATGAAACACCAAACCCAAAGCCCAAATCCTCCTAAAGTCCAAACCCTCAAAACCCCAAAAAAAAACTCAAACCCAAAACCCTGAGCATCTCATCCCCAACCCGAAGCCCTACCTTACACCCTAAACCCTAAGCGCTAAACGCTAAACGGATCCGCCTGCTCAAGCTTCCGCATGGCCTCCGTGGGGTAGAGACCTTGAGCTGCTTGGGGGGTTTCCGAATTAGGGTTTAGGGTTTAGGGTTTAGGGTTTGGGCTTTTTGTGTTTGGGGGGCCTTAAGGGAATCCTACTGTTTAGGGGTCTAGTAGAGGGGCGGAGATGTTTTCGCTCTTTTGGCTTGGCATTTGAGGGTTTTAGGGTTCGGGGTCTACGGCTTCAGGCTTTGGGTCTTTTGGTTTGGGGTGTGGGGTTTGGGGTTTAGGGTTTAGGGTTGATTTCGGGTGCACCGGGGGCCCTGGTTGCTCAAGTCAGGATCTCTTTTTGCTTGGAATCCTGGCACCCGCGCAGCCTCCTTCAGGGGGAGAACGACGGGTGAGTCATGGGGTCGTCCAAACCCTAAACCCCAAACTCCAAACCCCAAACCCCAAACCCTAAACCCTAAACCCTAAACCCTAAACCCCAAACCCTAAACCCTAAACCCGGAACGGAGGCTTGGGGGCGGGCTTGGGCTTCAGGGGCTTGCAGGCCTGTGGGGGATGTGGACTTTGTTGGGGGGATTTTGTGGGGTCCGGGAAGTCCAGAAAGTCCAGGTGGGTTTCAGGGTTTAGGGTTGAGGGTTTAGGGTTTTGGGTTTTGGGTTTTGGGTTTGGGTTTAGATTGGTGGCTCTGTAGATACGGAGCCGTGAGGGCTATAAGTCAGTATGTACCTTCGCTGGGGTGAGTGACGTAAATCCCACATGATGTAACCCGACCCTGAAGCCCTCTACGCCCTGCCTGCCCCTAGACCCATGCGGCCTCATACATCCTAACCCTCTAGGCTCCAATTCTCCAGCCTCTTGAACGCCAAAACAATTCTAAACCCTAGACTCTAAACCCTAAACCCTAGACCCGAAACCCTAGACCCGAAACCCTTGAACCCTCTCAACTCCACACCAAGCCGAGTGCAGCGCTTAAGTCACCCGTCCGCGGATCCACCGACACCTCAGCAGAACATGAGGATTTCCTAAAGTTGGGGGGTACCTTTTGGGGTCCTTATTATAAGGGAATCCTACTAGTTGGTGATCTAAATTGCGGGTCCCCTATTCGTAAACCCACACACAGCAGCCTGGCTAGGGTTTTGGCTTCAAGGGTCTACTTGAGAAGGTGCTGTTGAGGGTTCAAGCTTTAGGGTTTTCGCGGTTTCCGGCTCAGGGCCCAGCATGTAGGGCTATTTGGGAGTTGGTGAAACTAAGGGACGCCTCATAGAGACCCCCAAATAGTAGGATTCCCTTACACTAAGGACCCAATAGGTACCCCTAATTTCAGAAACCCCCAGGAAGCTTGATGGCTCTAAGCTGGAACGTGAAAAGGCGGATTGGGGACCCCAAACACGCCAAGGATTTAGAGGTTTACGGGTTTACTCAGGGCCGCCTTACACAAACAAGTGCTTGGGTTTAGGATGTTTAGGGAACCCGAATTTACCCTAAACCCTAAACCCTAAACCCGTGCTTCTTTTGGCATCTCCGGGACTGTCTGTGAGCCCCAGCCCACACCGCAAAGCCGTCGCCCGGGCCAGGGGCACTGGCCTCGGGGGCTGAAGGCTTTCGGGTGCATCCTACTTTTGGGGCTGTAGGGTTTAGAGGTTTAAGGGGTTTAAGGGTTTTAGGGTTTAAGGGTTTTAGGGTTTCGGGTGCATCCTACAGTTTAGGGTTTTGGGGCTGTAGGGTTCAGAGGTTTAAGGGGTTTAAGAGTTTAGGGTTTAGGGTTTTAGGGCGGTTCTTAGCTCTTAGTAGTGAGGGAACGCGGTACCCTATATAATCCTTCAAAGGGTCTATCATATGGGGATGTAAGGTACCTAATTCCCTCATGGGGCGTCAAGTTCAAGATTGTATGTTCAATGCTTCCACACTCCCTCAGCCCTCAACCATTAGCATCCCTTCATCCAAAAAGGAACTGCTCAGAATCTCTCCCTCAGCCCCACCCCCCCCCCCTCCACCCCCCCAAAAAAAGGAGAGAGAGAGAGAGAGACGACTGAAAACCGTAATCCCCAAATCCCCAACCCCCAAACCCTTGTACCTTGAAACCCTTAACCCTAATGGTGTTCGTGGGCAAGGTCCAGAAAAGGTCCAAAAATTCGTGGGCCAGATCCAAACGCTCGTGGGCAAGGTCCTTTTTTCCGGATCAGGCCTGGGTTTAGGGTTTCCGGGCCTGAGGGCCTGGGGTTGAGGGTTTCAGGGCCTCAAAGCCTGTTTAGGGTTTCAGGGCCTGAGGTTTCGGGTGTAGGGTTTCAAGGCCTCAGAGCCTGGGGTTTAGGGCTTCAGGGCCTCAAGGCCTGAAGTCAAGGCATGGGGTTTAGGGTTTCAGGGTGCAGGGTCTGGGGCTTCAGGGCTTCAGGCCTGGGGTTTAGGGTTGGACCTGGGGTTTAGGGTTTCAGGGCCGGGCCTTAAGGGCTGGGGTTTCAGGGCGTAAAGGGGTTAATGAAGACCCTTTATTTTCTCAATGTTTTGGGATTCTTTGGGCGAGTGGGTAACTTCCTGTCGCTTGAAAAGCTGCTGGACTAGTGAGAGCCAGTACATGAGCTGCTGAACCCTAAGCCCTAAACCCTAAACCCTAAACCCTACACCCTAAACCACCCTTGAACCCTGAAACACCCCAGGCCCAGCTCTTGCGGACGGTGCTCTGGCCCTGTCGACCCATGCGGCGGCGGAGGTGGCGGACCACGGCCTCATCCGGAGGGCGAATTGTGTTTTACTTTGGTAGGGTTTAGGGTTTAGGGTTTAGGGTTTCGGGTTTAGGGTCTAGGGTTTAGGGTCTAGTAGGGCTTAGGGTTTAGGGTGCAGGGTTCAGGGTTCCTTAGGGTTTAGGGCGTAGGGCTTAGGGCTTAGGGCTTAGGGCTTAGGGCTTAGGGCTTAGGGCTTAGGGCTTAGGGCTTAGGGCTTAGGGCTTAGGGCTTCGCGTGTTTTTAGAGTTTCGGGGTTCTTTTTTCGTTTTAGGGGATCAGGGGTGTAAACGCACACCCTCCCCCCCGCCCCGCCTCTCGCAGATACAAAACAAACATTCATCTTCATGCGCAGCTGCACCCTTCTGACTTCAGGCTTCCAGAAACGCGTTGGTGCCGGGTGGAAACTCTCAGGGCCTTGGGCCATGGAACTATGCCGTCCCATACCCACACCAAACCCTAAACCCTAAATCCTAAACCTCCAAGTCTAGACCAAACCCTCAATCCTGAAAGCCCAACACCCTGTTCCCAAACCCCCTAACCCCAAGATCCCTAAACCCTAAACCCTAAACCCTAAACCCTAAACCCTAAACCTGAAATCCAAGCCGAGGCGCTGGGTCGGCTCGAGGAGCTGCTCGACATGCCAAAAATCGAACGGAACTCGGACCTGGGCGTGGGCGCTTCAAGTGCTTTGGATTTGAGGTCAACAGCTAGGGTTTAGGGTCTAGGGTTTAGGGCTTTGGGTTTGGGGTTTAGGGGTTAGGGGCTAGTCAGGGACTAGTAGCGAGGTGAGATGGGTGGCCAAACCCTGACCTGAAGTTAGGGTCTAGATCCAGGTAGGGCTAGGTTTGTTCAGGGTGCCTCCGGGTTCAGGTTCGAGACTGGTTCGTGACCAAGCTTTTGGCATCACAATGGCTGTTATCCGAAGGAAGGCTACACAAAAAACAAGCTGGTGAATGCTCTGCTTAGCCCTACCTACACTTGTGATCCCCTGTTAGGTTCCCGAAAAGAAGGGTCGCCGAGCCCCGCACACGCCCGCATTGAAAAGGCCGGCCATGTCGGCCTTACCTACCCTGCGCCCCCAGAGGCTATCTTTGGGGGGGTCGTACCGTACATTTAAGAAGGTCGGGTGGGCAGACGGGTTGCCCAAGAAGGGAGCCCTTTCTTCGCGAGCTGTCCAGGTAGTTTGTGGGTTGGGCGGGGGGGGGGCTATCCACAACCCGCAAGGTGTCGGTGCCAAATATCCGGAATTCAGATGCCCAAAAAAGGCTAGAGCCTAGAGCCTAAACCCTGTTGTGACATCGTGTGACCGAAAGGGAAGGACTGGCAGGGATCGCGAAAAAACCACGATGTGCCCTATGCTTGATCCGCAGCACGGCACCCCATGTGCTGCATAACAATGGGTCGAACAAGTGGGTTCAGGGCTGTCATAGGTACCCAAACTCCAATTACCATACCCCTACTCCTAAACCCTACCACGTTGAACCCCTCAACAGCCCCTCCAGCCGAAACGCCCAACAGAAAATATAATAAACCCCGAACGTGCTTGCATGCCCAAGTACATGGCTGTTTGGGGCTTGCGACACCGCCCTTTCTTTGTGGGTTGAAATGCGCAACCCTGACAACCAAAGCTCCACACCGGAAACACCGAACTCCAAACCCCAACGACCTGCGCCATGTTGGGGTATCGGTGTTCTTGTTTCCCGCCGGAATCGATGGTCCCGAAGCTGACTCTGGAGTCTCACGGCCGCGCCGACAACTTCCGCCTCAAAGGCTTGCGTGAACATGATGCGCAGATCTTCTTGGACCCCGGTAAAAGGGGTCGAGAAAGTGACTAGCTGTGGCTGACAACCGCCACAGGCGTTTCGGAGGCGACAGCAACCAGGTCCGGGGAGCAGGGAAGCACCCATTGCAGAAGCCCAGTGCTGTCAGAGCCACGGCGGTACTTGTAGATCGCGGCCTGCTGGAAGCGGCGCCCGGTGGCAGTCATGACATCATCGAGCTCCTTCTCGTCATGCCCGTCCACCGGAAACAGCACTGTGAATCCTTCTTCCTTCCAATCGTCATCTGCTGCGAAGCTGGGGAAAATAGACACTGGAGGCGGATGCATTGTCTGGAGCACCTTGAGCAGATCTAGATTCGCCCTGCGATTAAAGTCGTCATCTGCCCTTTTCGCCATCGGATTCATGCCAGTTAGCGAGTAGCGCACCCCTTCCAAGAGAGCCGGGGGCATTGACAAGGTTTGTTTGGCAACCTCAACAGACTGCACCAAAACACTCTCATCCTTGCTTACGGCCAACGAAGAGGTCGCTAGCTTCCAGGTCTGACACCATCGTGCCTTATCCTCTTCCGAGAGCGTGGCTAGTGAATCACTCGTCATGTAGCGGACAAGTCCAAGCAGAATGCACAGGGCCAAGCAGAAAAGAATCTGATTTGACTGCTGAGGCATGGCAAGCGGACAACAAGGCAGCAAGACATTATTGATTTTGTGTTTTAGCATTTCTGCTAGGTAGAGTCACGAAATTCTGAGTGTCGAACTCAACACCCAAAAATTTCACTCCGAAACCCCAAACCCAAACAACCCCAACTTCTCCCTCCTTGCTATGGCTGTCCGGTGGTGCAAACATGCCACGAGCCAAACAAGCGCAAGGCGACAGCTTCACTGACCCCCACCAACCCACCCCCACCCCGCGCTCCTCATCCCCAACGAAACAGCACGTGGGGCCGAAAACCCAGAAAACTCCAAAACCCGTAGGCCCCAATCACCACGTCGACGCCTGTGGAGCGGGAGCGGGCCTACAGGCATGGGTGGAAGGCTCCTCTGGTTTAGGGTTGGGGTCTAGGGTTTTGGGTTTAGGGCTTAGGGTTGGGAATTTAGGGTTTAGGGTTTAGGGTTTAGGGCTCAGGGCTTAGGCTTAGGGTTTAGGATTTAGGGTTTCGGGTTTAGGGTTTTGGGTTTGGCTTAGGGTTTAGAAGGTTTAGGGTTTAGGGTTCAGGGCTGGAACGGGGACAGGTTCTGTCAGGCAGCAGCAGAGCCCAGGGATATCCCAGCCCACTAGATTGACGAACCTTTTGGCAAAGTTGACCAGCATCTTTGTAGAAATGATATACTCATCATCAGATTCATTAACGACTAAGAAATTTTGAGAGTAGAAATCATACACTCATCATCCAATGCATCAACGAACTAGGAAAAACACTAAAAATAAATCACACCATGGCTGTGATGACGGGAGCACGTGAAGTTTTTGAAGGGGAGCGGAGAAACACCATTTGGAGCGCCATCACCGCCTAACGTTCTCAAGTCGATCTGCGTTTCAACGGCAAAACCTGGGCTCCGGAGGTCCGCTTTTATATAATATAATATAACATTATATTATATTATATTATATTATATTATACTATACTATACAATATAATATAATATAATGAAATGAAATATAATATAATATAATATAATATAATATAATATAATATCAGACATATCATAAAATATAATATAATATAATATAATATAATATAATATAATATAATGAAATATTTCAAGACAAACCTATAAACCAGTGCCCGCCCCCGTGTACCTAACATTTTTGCTCTTGCGAGCACGTTTTGTTGTTTTTTCCTCGACGGTTTCGAGTTTCGGCATTCTGGTCACACGAACGACGAGGAAAGAAAAACGATAGTGTCCATGAATTCTTTGAAAATCATGGGTCTTATTGGTTTTTCCAAGTTTTTTCAGCTCCATCCTTCAAATACATTCAAAAAACCAACGTTTTCCAAAACAACCCATGGCTTTCAAAACATGTGGCTTAGACTGCGAAATTTATGGAAAACATTGGTTCTACCAATGTTTTTGAAGGATGCAGCCGAAAAACATCGGCAAAAAAACAATGTTTCCATGGTTTCAAACCATGTGGCTGGGAGCACGAAATTCATGGATAACATTGGTTTGACCCATGTTTTTGACGAATGGAGCCGAAAGCATCGGTAAAACCAATGGTCCAAAAAAAACATGGTTTTCAAAATGTGGCTTAGACTGCGAATTTCCTGGTAAGCATTGGTTCTACCAGTGTTTTTGAAGACAGCCGAATCAGTAAAGCCAATGTTATCCATGAATCTCGTGGTCAAAACCACATGGTTCGGGAATCCCGATCCGTTACGATCATCGGTACAGGGGAGGCACACACACACGAAGCCAGAATTGCCTAGATTTTTCGACCCCAGATATGGAGGTCGCAGAACCACAGCTGCAAGCCTCATGCGCACACTGCCTTCTGCTTCTACTGTCCCGCAACTCTCGCGGCGTCGCTAATCAAGAGTCGGCGTGACCAGCCTCGGCGGAGTCGGCAGAGTCCTCGCAATTGCAATTTACCAATAGAGTGCCGAGGTTTCCCGAAATAACAAACAATGTTTTTTAGTTCGGAAATTAAGACAACGACTCCGCCGTTCTCCGCCAAGCTCGCCACCTTGGTCCGTTTTGCTCAGACTCCACGACTCTACGGGGTGGAGGGCCTCCATCACGCAGCAGAAAAGTGCGCTATGTTCTCAAGCATGTTAAGCCAAGGCAAGCGACAAGGACTTCCCAGTCTCTTCAAACACAGTCAAATCGTTTCAAAAGAGGTCAAACCCAGCCGGTCAAACCCGCCCAAGTTCACCTCAAACCCACCCGAAAACCCTCAGCGCCTTCAAAACCCACCTCCACCACCCGCACCCCTTCTAAACAGGTCAATCCACCCCGAGTCCATTCAAAACACGGTCACTCACTCCAGTCTATTCAAAGCATGGCATCCAGCCAAATGGATCAGAGGGACCTTGAACCTTGCTGATATCTTCACTAAAAACATCACCGCTGCCTTGCTTAACCTGCACCGAAGTCGATTGGGTTTTGTGACTGTGCGCGATAGTCCAGCCGAAAGCCTGTTTGAGTTGTCGTTGTGAGCGTGGCGAAGTCTATGTCACTACTTGAAGTGTGTTGCTCAGTAGAGTCAGAACTTGCGCAGAAGTGTCGTCGACAGAACATTCCGTACGCAGATGTGGTTGTGGTTAACATGCAAGAACGAGGCATCAGAACCTCAAGATCCAGCATCACAGGACTCAGATGCTTTGAACAAGGACTCTTGCATTCGTCAACGTCGCTGTGAAAAAATAAAGCATCAGGAGCAAAGAGATCGCCCAGACCTGAATCATGTGCAATACGGGCCCGAACATTGTCAAGAAGAGACATGAACTTTGAAGTCCATGATGTCTCCGGAGCTGACACAGGGGTCAGCAGTCCTACTGAAAGCACACCAAATGCTGACCCCCTGCGATTGGTTTTGGATCTTGAACAAATGCCTCTCAAAGCAGTATCATCACTGACCAATGAAGACCAGCATACATGCTGAGCATCAGCAAAGCGAAGGCTGCCCCAAACGCAAATTAAACAAGCTCCGGACATCAGCCGATCCTCAATGGAAGCAAAATCGGAAAGCAACATTCTCTCTAATTCCACCACAATGAGCAAAGGCAGTGGCATAGCCTCCTTGCGAGGGGCATCACCTTAGCTTGTCGAGCTTCAAGTCAGATCATGAATGACCACAAGCACATGTCGAAAAATCGAATTGCTGATCTCAAGTAACGCAGCAAAGTGGTGTCACTGTTCCTGGTGAGCATGGATGAAAGAAGACGATCGGCATGTTTGCTTTCCAGTGCACCAGCAAACACAACGTGTTGGACAAGATCTCGCCAAAGTGGACAATTTTGGCTTAAAAGCGTCTATGTCTGTGCCCGGTGCAAAGCACTCATAAAGAAAATGGTCACTGTCCTGAAAATTCGAGGCGATGAGCTTCCCCTCACAGGGCTCCTCGCCCCGCGCGGGCCCCATCACTTGGCCGGAAAGGTGCATTCAAAAGCAGTATACTTCATGCCACAAGCTTGATTGCCCACAGCAACACAGCACCAATGAAGAAATTTACAATTCTGGCCAAACGAGAGCACAAACTCTTTGGTCGACAAGTTTGCAAACATGCAAGAGCAATCCAGTGCTGGGCACATCCTCCGGCCCCAAATCTCGCTAGAGTAGATTTTCGGAAAGCTTGGCTCGCAAACTGGACCGCCAACAGCCAAAGAAGCGAACGTCTCCGCCCATGACGTCCAAGAGAAGAACTCTGAGCAATGGCAGTGTCATGTCCCCTGCCAACAGAGAGGCGCAAATTCCCCGCGCCACGTCACTGCCATGTAAATGGACTGCGTTTTCTGCTGGGTAAGCTCGCGTGGAAGCATATGAATCATCTCTGAAACAAAACATGTGGTTCTCGGCATCGCCCCGCGCCACGTCACTGCTATGAACTCTCTGCTTCTTAAAACTCGAGTAATGAACACAAAAAACAAAAGAAGAAAGCAAGCGGGGTAGAATTGCTCTCAAACTCCCAAACGGCTTGCTTCGCTTCTGTAATTGTGATGTCTCTGGGTTTGGACGCGATAACACTTGACTTTGGAAAGAAGAAGCGAAAAAGCCAAAGTCCGGGTCATCTTCTTGCCACTGTGAAAAGTCCACAAAGACACAAAGTGCCGAAACCTCCAATAAAAAATGTTGGAATCGGGGTAATTTCCACATTGCAGAGAAGTGTGATGGCAAATCGACATGGCCACCACAATTGAAAAGCAAGCACGGACAGAACCCAACAAGGGGAGGGTATAAGACTCATTGATGTCACACAAAGCATTGGTATTGCAGATGCTGTCATCGACACCAATCTGTCGGGTCGACCATCGGAGGATACAATGCTCAGTTTCCCCACTGCCAGGCGATGTGGCAATCGTTGACGTGACCAAATAACCTGATTCCACTTCTTGAGCCACCAACTGGCTAAGCAACTCCGAATTGGCTTCTGCAGATGACCAATTGCCCTCGCAAAGCAAAAGCTCAGCATCAATAGTGGAATCCAACTTCCGTGTTGCAAATACATTGCTTTTGGGAATGTTCTTGTCAAATCCAGTGGGAACCCTTGTTCATAATCAGCAAACTCAACGTTTGCAATGCATACAAGCAATACGGTTGCCCATCGTCGACCTGCCAGTTCACCTCGGCGACGTTCCTCGTCCTACGGGCCCAGAGCCTGCCTCGACGGCAAGTGAACAATGAATCTTTACCACCTGAACAAACAAATCCCACAACTCTAACTTGATTCGAAGCAAAGGGTCTAACGCCCCCCCCTCGGCTTGTTTAAGCGGGGTAAAACTTGCGTGGAAGCACACATGGAGCAGCTTCATCCGTTTTCTGCGCGGAATTGAAAAGCAACCTGCGCGCACGTTAACGCACCAGCCAATCCAGACCTTCTTCCAACTCAGAGAAATGTTGAAACACTGTGGCATCCAATGTGGAAAAAACAATGCTAACCATCACACTGTATTCCGAGGAGCAAAATCGCAAAGAACTGAAGTGTGCAATCAGAAGGAATCTTGGAAAAA